TCAAAACTTCTAAATTGGATCAAAGCTATATAAGAATGTTAACATACTTTACAACTCCAAAATGAGGGAGAAAGGAAAATAGCTGTCATTCTAGCTGGAAGAAATGGAGACATCCAAAGTGAAAAAACTCTGTCTCTCCTTCTCTGAATCGCTGCCACAGCTACCTAGATTTATGGGGGCAATGTGGGATTACACATATGTGAATTTTCCTGGCAGCTGAAGGTTATCCTTTCAAGGGTAAAAGAACTTTTTTTTTTTAAACCATATTATTTGAAGACTTTTCTAAAATGTTTTACATACTTCCCTTACTTTTTAAATGGGAGATACCACATTTAACCTCTTCTGGATGGCTCAAGGTCATCAAAATGAGCATCAATTAATAGGCTGTGTGATAATATAGTTTAAGCCCTTTGTTTTTTTAAAGACTGTCCCACCCTGCACTTCCTAACTCCTTCCTGCTCACCCAGGCACCACAGGGCAAGCTCCCAACAAGAATGAGCTTCATTCATAGTCAAAGCTCCGATCCCCTTCCTGTCTGGCATCCCCCTTCCCGATGTGTTCTTGCATTCCTTTGGCTCCTGAACTTCTGTTTGCTTCCTGCTTTTAGTCCAACAGTTTCCCCTTAGATCTCACCTGTCATACAGCTGCTCTGTGACTGACCTTTGGTCCTCTTCCTCGTATGCCGTTCTGCCTCTGCCCTTGGGCCCTGTTCTGCCTCCAGCTGGGACTTGTACTGAGCCAGGCTAAGGTCCCATGACAAGGGATCAGATTAGTGTTCTTGTCTCCTTTCATATGGTTAAATGGACTGGGGTCATCTACTGCAGGGACAAACAGTCTCACACACCACCGTAACCTCCTGAGTAAGATTTTAAAATAGCTGGGAGTAGAAGAAGGGTTGCAGAAGATGTTCGTACTACTGCAGAGGACATATTGTAAGTGGGCAGTACGGACATCAGTTCTCTGGGGAGCGTCGATTACCATTTTCACTGGTTAATTGGGTTACAGATGCTTCCTTGGAATTGTCAAATTTCCAAGCCTAACAGCGAGGCTCTATTGCTGGCCCCTGTCTTACGCAGGCCTAGCTTTTTCTTCTTCCCTCCCTGCTGACCCATGAGCCCAAGGCCACTCAGGTTATAATATTTTCTTTCTACTCCAATAGGCCCATCTCTTTATCTCCATAAAAATGGTTTAGAGATGAGTTAGTAAACATTAAAATATGTGTATATACATGTCAAAAATGGATTTTACACTTCTCAAAGGTTAAAGGGAGCTAACATGCTAAAAGTATCATTCTGAAAGAAGGGATGCTCTTGTTTAAAGCTATAGGAAACATTGCAAAGGATGACTCATGCCAAATTACACTCTTAAATTACATATAAACTTCTCAGTCCCATTTTGAGAACTTCAGAGAACCCTGGCCAATCCTATGTTGTCAAGAACCCACTGAGTAGCTGCTTCTTGCCTTCTTCATGGGGAGCTGGCTCATCTGCCTGTCCAGCCACAGAGAGCACGTAAGGACCCAGTCAGGAGGCCCTCTCTCTTTCCACCCCTCCTGCTTACCCCGTGCCCTATTCTGCTTGTCTTGGCTCTATGATCCCATGGCATACTTTAATGCAGTGGTCCTCAACTCTGGCCATATACTGAAATCATTCAGAGAACTTTTTAAAAATTCTGATGTCCAGGCCCAAACACAACCAATTAAACCAGAATTTCTGGGCCCGGGGCCCAAGCGTGGAATTCCTCCTCCCACCCCGCAACATTTTACTGAGAAAAATTTTGAACATACAAGAAAGTTTAAAAATATTTACAGAACACCTGTATATCCACCACCTAGATTTTACCATTAGCGTTTTATTATACATGTCTATTCATCTAGCAACATTTTATTACCCCATATCTATCCATCTATTAACATTCCTCTAACCATCCATTAATTCACCTTATTTTTTGTTATATTTTAAAGTAAATTGATTACAAGGGTATATGGGGAGGAGGAAATGAGGAGTTATTGCTTGATGGTTACTGAGTTTCTGTTTGGGGTGATGAAAAATGTTCAGAAATAATGATGATGGTTGCACAACATTATGAATGTAATTAATACCACTAACTTATACACTTAAATATGATTATTTGATCTCACTTATATGTGGGTCTTAAAACAAAACAAAAAACAGCTGAGCTCATAAATACAGAAGACGGATGGGTGGTTGCCAGAGGCAGAGGGGTGGGGGGTGGGGGGGAGTGAAAATGGATGAAGAGGATCAACAGGCACAGCCTTCCAGGTATAAAATAAATAAGTCCTGAGGATGTAATGTATACATGGTGACCATAGCTAACAATACCGTATTGTATATTTGAAAGTTGCTAAAAGAGTGTATCTTAAAAGTTCTCATCAAAGAAAGAACATTTTTGTAACCATGTATGGTGATGGTGTTAACTTATTGTGGCAATCATTTCGCAATATATACAAATATCAAATCATTACATTGCATACCTGAGACTAATATAATGTTATATGTCAATTATACCTCAGTCAAAAAATGATTATAATGGTAAGTTTATCTCGTACACACACACACATACACACACACACGTGTGTGTGTATATATATGTGTATATATATTTAGACATAAAAATTGCAGATACTGGTGAATTCTTCCTGAGTTTGGAGAGTGTGCATATGAATGTTTTCTGTTTTTATTTATACTGTGCGCATATATTACAGATATTCCATTTTATCTACTGAGCAGAAAGACTTTTTAAAAGAATGAATAGTATTCTTTGCCTGTAGGAAAATACTTAGGTGTTTCCTTCTGTCAGGAACACTTACTCTCTTTTCACCTATAGAAATTCTACCTTTTTTTAGGAATCAGTGTAACTTCCCTCCTCCTGGGGAGTCTCTCCCTGGCTCCTGCAGCCACCATTGATCTCCCTTTCTTTTGAATTTACTTAATATCTTTGCCGTTCTTCCTAGCTCTCAGATAACAACAATTTCATTTCATTTCAGGTAGAGAGGTAGCATGCTTGCACTAGTCTCAGACCCACCCGCACCTTTCCATGCTCTGCTCTTTATTGCCTCTCACAGGCTCTCTCTTGTTCTTTGGCTCTTGATAGGTTAAGGCATTAGGAAGCCTCGTCAAAGATTGGAAGCACAGGAAAGGAGAAGCCAGGGTATTTCTCACTCTTTCTTTCCCTGCTTCCTGTGCAATCTGGCGGGGTGCCACTGGATAGCCACTCCCTTCCTGGCCCCAGCTCTCCTTGGGGCAGTTCTCTGGGTGGTTCCATCTTCCTCTTCCTGACAGTCCAGGCTTCTGGGCTCTGGTAACACCATCTTCTCCCGGTGTTATCCATACAACAAGGAGAGCCACCTCCTAATTTTGATAAATCTCTGGGTTTCTTCACCATTTGGCTTCTTCACTCCTCCATTCATCTGTATAACTAATCTTCTGTAAAAAATGTCCTGTCCTCTGAAAGACGGGTTTATTTTCCTGGCTGGATCCCAACTGATACAATGTATACTGAAAAGAGAGCAGGCTTGGGAGCTGGAGGGACCTAAGTTTGAATCCTGTTGCTTACTCTATGAACTTGCACAAGTGATTTAACCTCATTCGGTAAACTGGGGGTTATAACACCCACCTCACTGGGTTGCTATGAGTGTTAAATAGCATACCGTGTGGATAGTGCCTGTACCCTGGCTACAACTCAATCAAGGGTGGCTACTATTATTGATTTATAAACTCCTTGACAGCATGGCCATATTATTATTCTCTTTGTGGCCCAGTGTTTTACTTAAAGGTGTTTTTCACATTCCTGCCTCTTAAGTTTCATTTCATCAGCCACTTATTGAGCACCTGCTGCATATTAGCATTTGTGCTATTCGCTCGTTCTAGAAAACATGAAGAAAATAAGGCCTTGGCCTTCAGTGTGCTTACAGTGTAGCGGGAGTGACAGACGTGGCAACAACTAAGTCGACAGCAAGGCTATCTGACAGACACACCAAACTGAGGCACTGATGGGTACATAGCTGGAGGAGTGAGGGACTGACTCTGCCTGGGGATAGCAGGCACAACTTCAGAGGAGCAGAAACTCTGCTGTCTTTGAAGGAAGAGAAAACTTCCAACATGCAAAGAACATATTAAGGCTGAGCGAATGTCATGAGCTAAATGGTGGAGCGCTGATCAGGCATGACATTCAGAACACAATTTGTCCATTCAGTGTCTTTAACAGGAATATGTGGAGGGGGACCTAGAGCAAGATCTTTAAATCCTTGCCAGCTACTGGGCATGGACTTGATTCTACAAGTGAAAAAAATCAATAGCAATTTTTGAGAAGAGGAGTGATTTCATCCAACCGTAACTTAAGAAATAGAAAAAAAGAGTTTAGACACCTATTAGTAAGTTTTTGCTGTAGCCCTGCTATGTAATGATTCACAACACTTGGGGATTCATTAATTTGGGGGATGAGCAAGAGGGTCAGTAAAAATTGGCCCTAAGGCAACATTTCTCAATATATTCAGAAGAATAGAATCTCACGAATAACAACAACAGCCATCATAGTTAATTTTTTTCAATGTACTTAGGAAAAAAAATATATATATACATTCCTTACAGTGGCCTATCATAATATAAGGCTCTACATGATCTGACCTGGATGACTTCTTGGACCTCATCTCAACTCTTTCCCTTGCTCAGTATGCTGCAGCTCTTTCAGCCACTTTTCTGTCTCTTGAATAGGCCAACCTTGGTCCTGATGTGGGCTCTTTGCAGTTGTTATTCCATTTGCCTGGAAGAATTTAATTCCAGACTTTTGCTTATCTTTACATAATCTGGTACTTGCTTTCTTACCACCCTCCCTTTTGCTTATTCTTCTTTAGGCATTCTAGCCCACTTGCTTTTCTTTGAGTACAACAGACATGCTCTTGGCCCAGGGCCTTTGCACTTGCTGTTTTTTCCTGCCTAGACTTCTCTTTTCCCAGATTTCTGCATGGCTCACTTCCTCACCTCTTTCATGTCCTTCTTTGCTTCACCTTTTCAGTGAGGGATTCCTGCAATCCTGTTTAAAATTTAAAGTTAAAATTAAATATTCTTGTCTTTCTTTCCCCATAGCGCTTATTACCATTTGGCACACTATATATTTTCCTTTTACTTTTGTTTTCCCACACTGGAATGTGAGCTCCATTCAGACAGGTATTCTTATCTAATTTTGCTTGCTGTTCTATCCTCTGTGCCTAAAACAGTACTGGCACATAGTAAGTGCTCAATAAACATTTGTTGAATGAATAGAGAAACGACTTCAGTCTCCTCATATCTCAGGTCTCAGATAAAAGACCTTCCTCAGAAATGCTTTCTCTGACCCTTCCATCTAAAACAGCCATTTTCATCTTAGTTATTCTTTATAACATTATCGTGTTTATTTTACTCATAATACTCATCATTATCTGAGATTATTCTATGTATTTACTTGTTCATTGTCTGTCCCCTTTCTCCTTCATTAGAATGTAGCCTCCATGACACCGGGGGCCTTGACACATAGCAGGTAGTCAATAAGTATTTGTTAAATGAATGAAAAAAGCTGTGCTAAAGTCTTCCCATGGATTATCTCGCCTACTTCTCACGGCAACCCCCATTAGATAGTACCATTAGACTCCCCTTTTCTCAAACGACAAAACAGAGATTTAAAGCACTTACACAGTTATAAAATGGTAGAACTCAGATTTGAACACAGGGAGTTTGGTGCCAGAACTTATTCTGAGTTAGTTTATTTAACTGCAGGACTTCTCAGATCTTCTGACTCTAGAATCTGTAAGAGAAGAGAAGCATATGCAACATTGCCCAAACTTACGTGACCACAGAATCCTCGTTTTTTGTAGGATGTTCCTAGAGTTGTATGGATATATTTTAGAAATGGTGCCACAAAGTTTCTAGCCCATTTGACTGGGAAGTTGACAGAGTTTTATTTACACGTCAATACCATAACTCCATTGTAATGCCATGTGGCCTAAAATGCCTAAGAGATGTGGTGGGGTGAAGAAATAAAAGTCTTCTCAATGGGAAAGCAAAGGCAGCCCAGGGTTATTGTCAAAAAAGCAATTGAGGAGGGTAAGTATCTAGCTGAGAGAGACCTAAAAACAACAACAAAAAAGGTAATCTTAGTAAAACAAAAGTGCAAAGATCACCTGTCTGTCAGCCAAATCTGTGATTGTTCAGTATGTGGGCCTGAATAAGTCAGGTGGCAGAAAGTTAAGTGTGGCCTACAACACAGAGGAGCCCGCTGATCCTCAATGGATGAGAAGACATCGGTATTGTTCACACAACATCCGTTCTCTTTCTTCCTCTTTCTCCACATTTCCTCTTGTAATTTACCCTCTTTCACTCAGCGTTATGCTTCCTTAAGCCACTCACTCTCCTTGTCAGTGAATAGTGTAGAAATCAACAGGTCACCTTATGCAATTCTGGTCAGTGAGACACAAAGACGAGTCTGCTTGGGAACTTCTGGGAAAGATTTGCCTGTTTGTGAAAAAGAGACACATAGGAAGACATGTTGTGTCTGCATGTGATGCCTAGGACTGGACAAAGCTAACATTAATAATGAGAGGGGCAAAGCAGAAAAATGGAATATTCTCTCCTTAGTTCTCTTATGTGCTTTTTTGTTTTTGAAGCGGATACCTTGGGAGGCATATTAGAGGGATAAAATATTAGAAAACAAATCACTCATTTCCAGTGATTAGCATTATGCCGTGCATTATTGAGTTTCAGAATTTCAGCCATGGCTTCCTATTTCAGGTAACTGTCAGTTGACTGTTTCAAGAACGAGGGACTCGTTACCCATGAAGTTTGCACAGGATATTGCAACAGAGATGGATCAGGGCCAGCTCAAGGGTGCTGCCTAAATTGACAAGGGTGGAATTTGTGTTGGAAAAGAAGGGAGTAGCTGTCAGATCAAAGGTGTAATACTGGAGTGAAGATTCCCAATCTACTGCAGCTGAGGATTTCAAGGATTCTTCCTGTTTCTAAACTAGGTTCCCATCTCTTGGATGCCCAGCTACATGGCTGTCCCTGGGGCTTATGAAGTTCTCGCTTGAAACCTACGACGTCTGCTGTCCCTCCACCTCAAAACACGAGGCTAGCTGTCTGTGTCCTTGCCTGAGAGCCCCTAGATATGGCCTGGAGAAGATGTAGACTCTGTCAGACTCATCTCTTGATTTTTTGGTAACTCTAGGGGAATAGAGACTCAATAAAAATAGAACATGGGATTCTCCTTGGCCGGATAATCCTGTCTACATGCTCCCTTCAGGGCAATCAGACAGCCATGGGCTTCAGATCTGATATCAACAGATTTTTAGGTGCCTTGAGGAGCAAAAGTGAGCACTCCTACCCCTCATCCAGTGAACTTGCTCAGATAACTTGTCCGAGGCCACACATTTAGTAAGTGGAAGAGTGAAGATTACAATCTGACTCTTAACATCTGTGTACATAACCATTATGCCAAACGAGACCGTCAAAGTTTGTGCCAAGTAACTTCACGCATGAGAAAATCCTGTGAAGGGCTTGCTGTCAGAAAAAGATCATGAGACTGATCCCCATGTCTTTCCCTTCTACTCAAAATTTAGTAAAGCCTCTCACTCTCAGTATAGAGCACTGGTTCCTCACTATAGATGCATGGCTTTATGCTTCACATCCGGCATAGCACAAATAGGTGAGTGGGTCCTCTCTCAGGCTCAAGGGGACCACCTTCCTGGGCACATCTGTCATTTAGACTCCTCCTACCAGAGGAAGAAGATGTAGCAGGATGGAGGAATCCATGAACTGCTAAACTTTGGTTGGAGAGGGAATCTCAGTTACTACGATGGAGGTGGTTTCCCAGAACTGGGAAATTGGCAAAACTGTCTTGGGCAATGAAAAGGCTGAGCTATCAACAAGCTATTTGGGAGCAGCAAGGAGAATTGTCCTATTCCTTATTACCTCTTTGGGACATTTGTTTGAGAGAAAAGAGTGGACATTGTTTCATATTCTCTTACTTAATTTGGTACATTCATTGGGCAAACAGCTTTGTGCCAGGCTTTCCAGCTCCCTTTAGATTTTCAAAGGCATGAAAGAATGATAGTTATAGAAACTTGTTTGTGCGTGTGTGTATACATATGTATATATGTGTATGTGTGTGTATATATATATACACAAAATATATGTACAAAATTATTGTTGTAGGTTTATAATCTACAAAATGCTTATAATCTGACACTTTTTTTGGACCGGGGAATGGGAACTCATGCTCATATTCTTGGAGTAGCCATTTTTGGACAGGTACTAAAAACGACTGTTGGTGATGCAATGGATGAAGTGGTGATGAAGTTTAAATAAATAAACTTGGATAGGCAAGACAAGAAGCTGTAGCTATTGGTCTAAAGTGCGGAGAAAGAGAGAGAGAAAGACACAACCCAGGCTGCATTGAGTGCTAGTTGCATTTACACTGAAAGCAGGGACAAAGATTGTGAGTTTCTCATGGATTAGGTGTGGATTTGGCAGAAGAGAGCCAACCTGGAGCCATTTCAAATTTCACTCAAGTGTTCTGCTCAGAAAGGTGAAGTGACCCCAGTAGAGCATTGGTTCACCTGATTCCCACTGCTGTGGGAGGAAACATAAGTGATTAGTTGGAGGTAAATGTTTCACCCCCAGGACAGGTAGTTCAACGTAAGGGCCTCCAAAGTACCCATGAAACCACCCACGAGAAGAATAGTCAGCTTTGAACATCAGCCAGAAAGAGACAGCTTTAAACATTTGCCACAGCCAGAGGGAACCAATGCCAGAGTACATTGGTGCCAGTCGGATAAGACATTTCCTGCTCCTTGGTTTTTATTCCTCTCTCTGTTTTAACCCTGGAGGATCCAGAGGCAGCGTGATAGCGAGTGAGGAAGGAAGAGTAGAAGAATATAATAGGGAAAAAGAGATGAAGCTAACGAAGCCCCCTCTCTCACTGCAAGCACTTTATCAAGGGGAGGAACTTTGACTTTAAATGAAATTTGGAATTTTTTTTTTTTATTTTATTGCAGTAACATTGGATTATAACATCATACAGCTTTCAGATGTACATCATAACATATTTCGAATTCTGTGTAGATTACATCATGTTCACCATCCAAAAACTAATTATAGTACATCCCCTCACATGTAAGCCTAATCACCCCTTCTGCCTGTCCCCCCTTCTCCTATGGTAACCACCAATCCAATCTCCAATGCTATGTGTTTGTTTGTCGTTGTTTTTATCTTCTACTTATGAGTGAGATCATACGATATTTGACTTTATCCCTCTGACTTATTTCACTCAGCATAATACCCTCAAGGTCCATCCATGTTGTCACAAATGGCTGGATTTCGTCATTTCTTATGGCTGAGTAGTAGTCCATCGTGTATAAATACCACATCTTCTTTATCCATTCGTCCCTTGATGGGCACCTAGGTTGCTTCCAAGTCTTGGCTATTGAGAATAATGCTGCAATGAACATAGGGGTGCATGTATCTTTATGCCTTTGCGTTTTCAAGTTCTTTGGATAAATACCCAGCAGTGGAATAGCTGGATCATATGGTAGACCTAGTCTTAATTTTCTGAGGCTACTTCATACTGCTTTCCATAGTGGCTGCACCAGTTTGCACCCCCACCAGCAGTGAACAAGGGTTCCCTTCTCTCCACACCCTCTCCAACATTTGTTGTTTCCTGTCTTGTTACTTATAGCCATTCTGACCGGAGTGAGGTGATACCTCATTGTAGTTTTGATTTGCCTGTCCCTGATAGCTAATGATGTTGAGCATCTTTTCATATGCCTGTTGGCCATCTGTATTTCTTCTTTGGAGAAATCTCTGTTCAGATCTTTTGCCCATTTTCTAATTGGATTGTTGATTTTTTTGTTGTTGAGATGTATGAGTTCTTTGCATATTTTGGATGTTAACCCCCTATCTGATATATGGTTTGCAAATATCTTCTCCCAATTGTTAGGTTGTCTTTTCGTTTTGTTGATGGTTTCCTTTGCAGTGGCAGAAGCTTTTTAGTTTGATGTAGTCCCATTTGTTCATTTTTTCTTTTGTTTCCCTTGCCAGGTCAGACATGGTACTTGAAAATATGCTGCTCAGACCGATGTCAAAGAGCGTACTGCCTATGCTTTCTTCTAGAAGTTTCATGGTTTCGGGTCGTACACTCAAGTCTTTAATCCATTTTGAGTTGATTTTTGTGCATGGTGTAAGGTAATGGTCTACTTTCATTCTTTTGCATGTGGCTGTCCAGTTTTCCCAACACCATTTATTGAAGAGACCCTCCTTTCTCCATTGTATGCTCTTGGTTCCCCTGTCGAATATTAGCTATCCATAAATTTGTGGGTTTATTTCTGGGCTCTCGATTCTGTTCCATTGATCTGTCTGTCTGTTTTTTAAAATTTTTTTTATTTTTATATTTTTTGAGGAAGATTAGCCCTGAGCTAACTACTGCCAATCCTCCTGTTTTTGCTGAGGAAGACTCGCCCTGAGCTAACATTCATGCCCATCTTCCTCTACTTTATACGTGGGACACTTACCACAGCATCGCTTTTGCCAAGCGGTGCCGTGTCCTCACCCGGGATCCGAACCGGTGGGCCCTGGGCTGCCGAGAAGCAGAACGTGCACACTTAACTGCTGCGCCACCGGGCTGGCCCCTGTATGTCTGTTTTTGTGCCAGTACCATGCTGTTTGGGTTACCATGGTTAGTATATTTTGAAATCAGGGAGTGTGATACTTCCAGCTTTGTTCTTTTTTCTCAGGAATCCTTTGGCAATTCAG